TCTCTCTCTCTCTGTCTCTCTCTCTCTCTGTCTCTCTCTCTCTACTGCCGCCTATAGCTCAGCCTGACTGTCTCTCCCTCTCCCTCTCTCTCTCCTGCCTTGGAGACTACCCTAACTATGGTTGATGTCGGCGCTCCCTTCGTCTTCGAGCGCAGTCTTGCCCAAGTTGCTTGGTCACACAAGCAGCAGCAGCGCTTCTGCAACTTCACAAATGAACAGCTGATGAGCCACTGCCCTGTAGCAGCTAAATATAGGACTGGTCGTGGCTTGGCCTGCTTCGGACCGGTACCGGGTGGCCGCGGGCTGTCTGCTGTAATCATTTGTCAGTCCGGAAGCTTCTCGGACTCTCCTGGGACATGCTGCAATTTTTCTGGACTTGGGACTGGACTGGACTTTCCAGGCCTTTCTGTCGGGTACCAACCTGACTGTGAGATGACTCAAATTTTCCGGATATAGGCCCGACTTAGACCTAGGACGCCCCTTCTAACCTTACGGACCTACCCCGCTGGGGCTTGGGGCTTGGAGACTTCCGGAACTTTGGGGTCTCGGTGCCGTGCTTTCAGGTGTCTGCAGCGGGAAATCCTTTCACTCCCACCGGCCTAATTTCAAGGTCCTACAAGAAAAATACAATCTTTACCTATCTGCGATATTGATGCCTTTCCTCGCTCTATCACAGTAGGAAACGATATTTGGCGCAGTCTCTATAAGCTCATCCCTTGTGAACCGATGATCTTCTTCGGCCTCCTGGTAACCGAATCTGGCTCTGTATTGTTGCTGGGGTCATCCCCTTCATCCTAACCGGTAGACATCTTCAGCTATGATTCTGCCAATATCATACCTACCATCCATATCAGGCGGGATCATTGATTTCTGTGACGGGAACCCATCAGTGGCCGTATAGGGAAGTAGCTTAGACGCATGGAAAACAAGATAAGTGTGCAGATGCGGTGGAATTTCTATTGTGTAGAAGGGATCATCCGCGTCCCCAACGACGTCGAGAACGTGCCAAGGTCCTCTAAGAGCAGGCAACAACTTCTGTGATATGCCCTCTTCTGGGAGGAACTTCTTCGACTTGACCCAGACTAAGTCACCTACAATGAACTGCGATGGTTTGCGGGGCTTATTAGTTTGTTCTATCATCTGATGCTGGGCTTTTCCGATGTTCTCTATCGCACCTGTCTCTTATACACATCTAGATGTGTATAAGAGACAGCTATAAGCTCATCCCTTGTGAACCGATGATCTTCTTCGGCCTCCTGGTAACCGAATCTGGCTCTGTATTGTTGCTGGGGTCATCCCCTTCATCCTAACCGGTAGACATCTTCAGCTATGATTCTGCCAATATCATACCTACCATCCATATCAGGCGGGATCATTGATTTCTGTGACGGGAACCCATCAGTGGCCGTATAGGGAAGTAGCTTAGACGCATGGAAAACAAGATAAGTGTGCAGATGCGGTGGAATTTCTATTGTGTAGAAGGGATCATCCGCGTCCCCAACGACGTCGAGAACGTGCCAAGGTCCTCTAAGAGCAGGCAACAACTTCTGTGATATGCCCTCTTCTGGGAGGAACTTCTTCGACTTGACCCAGACTAAGTCACCTACAATGAACTGCGATGGTTTGCGGGGCTTATTAGTTTGTTCTATCATCTGATGCTGGGCTTTTCCGATGTTCTCTATCGCACATTATAAGTCCTTCTCATACTGTATGGCAAACTCCCTTGTACCGGGTGGCAAGTTCTGAATCTGGTCCGCATTTAGGCAGTCTATAGGCTGCCTTGGATGCCATTGTCTGTGTAGTTCGTTGAGTGTCCGCAAAGTAGCTAAGTGTTCTGAATTGTTGTAACCACTTGCTACTTTCGGGAGGTGTTCATCCCAAGCCTTCTGGTCTGGCCTAATATACATTTGTAGCACTTAATCCAACAATTTGTTCATCTGTTCAGTCTGGCCGTTAATCTCGGGGTGTCGGCCTGACGATATGGCCAACCTAGACCCATAGACCTTCATCAGTTGCTGCCAGTGCTCACCTGTAAACCTTGCGTTGCGGTCACTAACTATTGTCAAGGGGTGCCCGTAGTCCGTGACCCAATAGTCAAAGGACTCCCTAATTACTAACTCAGTCTTTCCCTGGGCAGGCAAC